GCGTGTAGCTAACGATACTAGCCTGATACGCTGCTGGAGAGGTGTTTCAGACGAGAGGTCAGTCAGCCCCTCTAGCCCTGTTAATCAGTTAGAGGATCTCATCCAGCTGTGCCCTGCAGGAGGCCTGTGTATCGGCTGAAACAACATGGTCTGTTGTCTTGTTCTGTACTCCCTCCCAGATGAGTGTCCTGTTCCAGTGGGTTTTTTGCTTGTCTTCTCCATTTGGTTCTGAGGATTCTGGACTTTTACCAGGTTCTCTTACTGTCTTCTCCACTCAAGACTGAAGAGGTTCAGTTCCTCTGGCCTGCCAGGGCGCTGTCATGACTTTTCTGTAACACAGGAAACACAGAGTGGCTTCATCATCTTACATTATACTGACTGTTTCTGAGCTCTGTGCTGTGGTCGGGGCCAGTGTAGGCTCTGTGCTGCTCTGTGGTCGGGGCCAGTGTGGGCTCTGTGCTGCTCTGTGGTCGGGGCCAGTGTGGGCTCTCTGCTGCTCTGTGGTCGGGGCCAGTGTGGGCTCTGTGCTGCTCAGTGGTCGGGGCTCGTGTGGGCTCTGTGCTGCTCTGTGGTTGTGGCCGGTGTGGGCTCTGTGCTGTGGTTGTGGCCGGTGTGGGCTCTGTGCTGTGGTTCGGGCTGGTGTGGGCTCTGTGCTGCTCTGTGGTCGGGGCTCTGTGCTGCTCTGTGGTCGGGGCCCTGTGCTGCTCTGTGGTCGGGGCCAGTGTGGGCTCTGTGCTGCTCTGTGGTCGGGGCCAGTGTGGGCTCTGTGCTGTGGTCGGGGCCAGTGTGGGCTCTGTGCTGTGGTCGGGGCCAGTGTGGGCTCTGTGCTGCTCTGTGGTCGGGGCCAGTGTGGGCTCTGTGCTGCTCTGTGGTCGGGGCCAGTGTGGGCTCTGTGCTGCTCTGTGATCGGGGCCGGTGTGGGCTCTGTGCTGCTCTGTGCTGTGGTTGGGGCCGGTGTGGACTCTGTGCTGGTCATTGTACAGCTCCTGGGTGTAAGGAAAGTGCTGTTTCAACTCAGCTGTCCTGGAATTCTCAAATAATAATAATAATAACGTTAAAGAGAGTTCAGCTCCTGACAGAGCAGAATGTCTTGCAGCTCTTGTGATTTCGCAGTTAGTGAGAGAAGTGAGATGGACACAGCAGGAGAGGAGGCAGCAGAAGAGCTGCTTTTGCACAATTAGTGCGGTCTGGGAGGCTGGACAACATGGGGATGGGGGGTTCCAGCACGGACATGGCTTTGGCAACAAGCCAGGTCGTAGCTTGGAGAGCCTCCAGAACTTCAGAGGGAATCACGATCCTGTCTAGTGAACGTGACAGCAGAAAGCAAAACAAGCAAATAAGATTGAAGCTCGTGAGGTCAGGGGTGCTTGAAGCCTGTCCTGGGTCTCGTGGTGTTCTCTCCTCTCTGTGGGGACGATTTCAGTGCCCCTGCGATGCCTGCTGTTCTGGGCTCTGCACACAGCCTGGAGACTGGACAGTTTCTCCAGCTCAGCTCTCCGCTCAGAAAGCCCAGCCCCTCTCCGGTGCCCTGCACCCCTCTCTGCCCCGGGCTCAGAGGGCGCAGGGGTGTCTGTCAGCTCATCGGCCAGCGGCTCTCTGGTCTGGAGTCGGCTGCAGAAGCTCGGTCTCGTGTGCGATTCCTTGTGTTCGACCGGAGAGGGGGAGCAGGAGGGAGGCCGTGTGGGGACGCTGGGGGACGGATGCGGCGCTAGAACTTGCCAGACGCTCTCTTGGAGGCTCGGCCAGGAATAGCGAAGTGTGTCACAATACAACTACCGAATAATTGAACAGCCAAATGTCGCTCCGGCCGGTGAGGGGCCTATCGCCTGCAGCGGTCCTGCTGTGGGGTGGCCGGCTGTCTGCTCATCTCCGCAGCAGGGGCCCGTGGGTTCTCGCTGCAGGCTGGAAGGCTGATTTTCCTGAGGCGTGTGGGGAGGCGTACTCAGTGAGTCCAGGGCTCCACGCTCGGGGGGTCTGGCCAGGCGTCCTTATCTCTGTCTGCCAGAGCTGTCAGTGCTGCTAGTTTGGCAAGGGGTGGGCGCGGCGCTGTCCGTGGCTAAGGCGTGTGCGGCTCAGCCCAGGGGGTGTGTGCAGCGGGAGAGCTGCTGCACCCCTGCGTTCCCCCGTTATCGGGGCGGGGGTCCGATCTGCCAGTCTGCTCCCCGGGGACCCTGGCCTGCGATGCAGCTGCAGTCCGTTTTCAGGCCCTGCGGCGTGTCACCTCCTGCAGGACTCTGGTGCAGGACGGCCTCGGCCCCGGGCTCGAGAGGAAACGTTGCGTGTTTTTCTGAAACAACCACAAGAGAGTCGGGGGATAATTGCCCAAGATGATTACCACACTGTTGCCAGGAAGAGAATTTCGAAA